CACCAGGAGCTTTATGCTCCAGCACAAAACGAGCCTTCCGATGATGAACAGCCTTTACCAAGAGACAATCCAGTGAATCGGCGACACCAAGGACAAAGGTTTCCAAGAGTTGGTCATAGAAGGGAACATGGTCGGGGTTCAAGAGCGCAACAAACACGACAAGGAGCAGGAACGCCTGACCCAGATTTCAATGATGATGACACTAACCAGGGGCCTTATGCTTCAGCACAGAACGAGCCCTTCGATGATGAACAGCCGTTACTAAGAGACAATCCAGTGAATCGGCGACACCAAGGACAAAGATTTCCAAGAGCTGGTCATAGAAGGCAACATGGTCGGGGTTCAAGAGCGCAACAAACACGACAAGGAGCAGGGACGCCTGATCGAGATTTCAATGACGATGATACTAATCAGGGGCTTTATGCTCCAGAACAGAACGAGCCGCCGGATGATGAACGGCTTTTACCAGGAGACAGTCCAGGGAATCGACGACACCAAAAACAGATATATCCGAGAGCTGCTGGTAGAAGACCATATGACCCGGGTTCAAGCGCGCAAAAAGTACAAGGGGTAGGAACGCCTGATCGAGATTTCAATGACGATGACACTAACCAGTACTCTTATGTTGCGGGACAGTATCAAGTTTTGAACGAAGAGCAGAAGTCACGCAGAAAGATGCCAGGGAATGAAGAGCAACGAAGATGTCGATATCAGAAGTCTTTGCCGAAGGCTTCAGAAGTAATTTGGGATCCCTCAAAAGAGGAGTACCTATGGGAGATGCTGAACTGTGAGCAAGTGCAAAGTATTAAGCGCTGTGTGTTCATTGCAGCAAAGTTTCGCGAACAGGATCTACCTGAGAAAATCAGTGAGGAAGGGGCATCGATAGTAAAACAAGTGATGGGACGTATATTTCCTATCGCGCTTCGCGGCAAAAGCCAAGCTGGTAAGAGTACGACTTTAAATCGAATAGCTCAATTGTGCAACTGTCCGGTGAAGGATATGTTTACTGTAGCGAAAGAGTTTGGAGCAACTACCACTGAGGGCATCTGTCTCATGGTTATCACGATGAAAAATGGCGATGCCCTCTTTTTATTTGATATGCAGGGTACAGATCGAGGATCTGATGAGAAAACCCATCAACTGATAGCCTTTACCGATCAAGTTTGTACGAAAGTGGTGGATGTGTTTCGAATGCCAGATGAGGGTTTCGGCAATGAGTATGTAGCTGCTCTTTACTGTTTATCGACTGCGCGAGATAGTGTGAAAAATTTGAATCCGCAATCAGAAAAACTTATTTTATGGACAAACTGTGAGCTGCCAAAACTCCATCCATTTAATCATACAAAATGCGGGACACCAGAAGTTTATCAAGCCGCAGTCTTAGAGTGCGTAATCGGGGAACGCGAAACACAAGCCAAAAAGGTAATAGCCGTTTATCAGGAAACTCCAATTATAACTACATGTAGGCCTAAAGGTGAAGATCAGAAAAGAGTTTCTGAACTCGGTAGTTCGCACCCATTCATAAAAAACCAACTAATCCCAGCGGTGAAGCGTATCCTGCATAATGCACAGCCTGTTCGACTCGGCTCTCATGAGATTAAAGTTGGAAAGGATTATATGTCGTACCTGGAAAAGATCTATGAGTGCATTAAAAAGCAGGATATCAACCTCCCATTTTGCACGACACCTCTGATACAAGGTATTGCGATGTCAGTTTTTAATGCTCACAAGAAATGGATTAATGATGAAATCCAGGAATCGTTATCAAGAAATGGACAAAGTACGAGATGGATCTCGAAGTTTTTCGTTGGTGAATTCTATGCAAAGGCATCAGAGTGCATTACAAAGTTCGCGAAAGAGCTCTCTGATCATAATGAACAAGCATGGGAACCACAGTTCAAAGATTTGATTGAGCATATAGGCTTTCTTCTTGAACAAACTATCTCCGATTACAAAGAGCCGGTGTTGCTGTGGTACATAGATGATCGATGCACAACTTTACACACACAATGTACCCTAGGATATCAAAGTAATGGATTAGGAAAGAAAATAGATGAAGTGATATTTCAGTGTGTCTCCGATATGACAGCGGTGCCGTTTTTGCGAAAGAAACTCAATCAATTAGATGGAAGATTTATTACAAAAACTCTTGAGGATCGTGTTCGCAGATTGGATAGGAGCTGTAAACTGTTATCAAATGCAGGTGTTAGCAGTGCAGACAAAGATCGTGTTGGGAATACTCTCACGAAACGCAGAATCGAATTAGTTACTGCACAACAAGAAGCAGAGTGTGAATGGTCTAAGCGTGTAAAAGATTTTCAACGGTATATCTATTCGTCGGAAGATATTGACAACGAAATCAAAACACTGATTGACGACTTCAGACGGCACTATCTATCAGTATTTTCACGCTTCAAAGTTGAACCGAAATTGTGGTTCAACGTTGATGAGATGAAGAATAAACTTAAGAAAGACAATATACAATACTCTAACGAAACAGCCGATTACTCACAATTTCGTCACCTCGAGAAATTTGGCGAAATGGTAACCAAAGTATATGCGAGCAACGATGAAGTTCCTAACAAATATGGCAAGATCCTACTAGCGGCAGACAGTATTTTAATGGAGTACTACAACTCATTACCATACCCATTGTGTGATAATACAATTAGTGGTTTTTACAACGAAGTTCGACTCAAACTGGAAAAAGCCATTAATGACTTGTACACTCCGGCAGTTGAAAAACAATTAGAAGAAGATAGGCTTGCTCAACAACTAGTCTTCAAAAGCTTAAAAATGGATAGATATGAGTCACTATTATGGGTCCACTGTATCTATTGTAATCGAATTTTTGCTGGACGAACAGTCGGCTGTCCGAACGTCAAATGTCCTTTAGGAAAGAATCAAGATCATGGATGCGATAAGCAGTTTGAGTGGAAGAAAGCAAAGCCAGTCGATCTGAAAACAATACCCCAAGGTTTTTGGTTTACTAATCTCACAAAATCGGAAATTAGTAAGATTGCTAATGTTGCTATACAGGATAATATTGCTACAAGACAGAGCCAGCAAAACAAATCGAAAAAACCTCAACCTCGACGAAGCAAATCACAAAACGCTTAGTATTCCCCCCACTATGTGTCACTTCAGAAATTCATTGT